TGGGGCAAGCCCTGGGCCGGATTAAAATGTCTGAAGGGCCGGATGTGGCCCCTGGGCCGTCGTTTGCCCACCCCTGAAATAGTTCATGCCCCCCCAAAAAACACTCCTCTGTGTTTACTTATATATGAACCGTCTCCACAACGGTGGTTGTTGAGTGCATGTCTGCTGAGGAGATAGGCACTGACCCTGCAAACATAGATACACACGCTTCTCTTTATCTGAGGAATAGGAGTTCTATAATGAGAACAATGGAAGTACTCAGATGCATAAAGTACAAGCATAGATAGGTGTTTGCGGGATCGAGTCCAAAGCTTGTCATTATTGTTTGTATTACATTAGTGTCTACAGGCAACAGTAGTACCCAGAGTTGTAATAGTAAATGCTAAACTAAAAGCGTTTTGGAAAGGAAATTAACCCTTGGGCTTCCGGGTTTCAGACAAGTTCTAAGGGATTAAGATGAGACCTTCATGGAGGCAGGTTACCCTACCTCTGCCTACTGTGGGGTTTTTACACCTTCCTCTGAGGCATTGGTGCTGGCCACGGTCAGAGACAGGAGAGTGGATTAGATGAATCGTGGGTCTGATCCAGTCTGGCAATGCCTGTGTTCCTAGAGGCCCCAATTTAGGGATGAGGATGTCCCTGTGCTGGACACTGTACAAACCTATAACAAAGAAATGGTCCCTGCCCCGGAGAGCTTAGGGGCTGTCTACACTGTAATAAAAAACCTGTGGCTCAGAGCCGGGGTCAATAAACTTGGGCTTGCGTGGCTCAGGCTATGGGGCTAAAAATTGCAGGGTAGACATCTGGGCTCGGGCTGGAGCCTGGGCTCTGAGATCCCGCGAGGCAGGAGGGTGTCAGAGCCCAACCTCCAGCCCGAGCCTAAAGCCCAAATGTCTACACTGAAATTTTTAGCCCCACAGTCTGAGCCCTGCGAGCTCGAGTCATCTGATTTGGACAAGTTGCAGCCATGCTGCAGGTCCTTTATTGTAATGTAGACATGCCCTTAGTGTCTAAGAATAAAATGGGAGATGAGCGGTGGACTCAACAAACCAAAGGGAAAATCGTCTGGTTACCTGGTGCACACGCCCGATGGCTGATTGTGGCTCTTTGGGGGCAAGGACCTTCTCTGTTATGGGTTTGCACAGCGTCTGTGGCAATGCACTTAGTAAGACCATTCTGCGTATAACAGAGAGTGGTCATAGCACACCAGCTGCCTGGCCATAGCTGAAGGCATCATAGGCATTGCCGCAGAGGGGAGTTTTAAGGAAAGATTTGAAAGTGGCTTTGAGGGTTTTCACAGGGAGATCTTCCCATGCAGTATAGCCCTCCACCTCCAGACAGCAGGGAAAAGGCTGAGGGCTAAGGTACAGCTCTGCAAGGGGAGCTGTGTGGAGCTACATCACCTCCCAGGGAGCCTCAGATGGCATTGCATTTCAGGGAAGTCCACTGTGCTGCTGCCCAGCATGCAGGAGGAATGGGCCTGTTCCACCACCCCTTAGGAGGGTGCTACCTGTGGCAGGGGATGGTACTGCTTGGGTTGCTACAGACCCCACAATTTCATGCTGCAGGTTTCCATCTGCTGCAGAAATGTGTCTGGAACTCCCAGGCCTTGCGAGTGGTGGGGGAGCTCTAACCCTCTCCCAATCACACACCACCCCAGTGCCTCGGAGCTTAGCAATGGTGGTTGCCAGGGAACAGAGCAATCTGGTGCAAGAATCCCAGACAGCGGTGGCTGTTTCTAGGGGCCAGGAAGGCCAGCTCACTGGGACTTGTGAGGGTCAGGTTATATGTAAGAACATAAGAACGGCCATACTGGGTCAGACCAATGGTTCATCTAGCCCAGTATCCTGTCCTGCGGCAGTAGCGAATGCCAGATGCTTCAGAGGGAATGAACAGAACAGGCAATTATCAAGTGATCAATCCCCTGTTGTCCAGCTTCTGGCAGTCAGAGGTTTAGGGACACCCAGAGCATGGGGTTGCGTCCCTGACCTTCTTGGCTAATAGCCATTGATGGACCTATTCTTCATGAACTTATCTAGTTCTTTTTTTAACCCTGTTATACTTTTGGCCTTCACAACATCCCCTGGCAAGGAGTTCCACAGGTTCACTGTGCGTTGTGTGAAGAAGTACTTATGTTTGTTTTAAACTCGCTGCCTATTCATTTCATTGGGTGACCTTTGGTTCTTTTGTTATGTGATGGGATAAATAACACTTCCCTGTTCACTTTCTCCACACCACTCATAATTTTATAGCCCTCTCTCGTATTCACCCTTACTCGTCTCTTTTTCTAAGCTGAACAGTTCCACTCTTTTTAATCTTTCCTCATATGGAAGCTGTTCCATACCCCTAAATATTTTTTTGTTGCCCTTCTCTGTACTTTTTCCAATGCTAATATATCTTTTTGAGATGGGGAGGCCAAAACTGCACCCAGTATTCAAGATGTGGGCATACCATGGATTTATACAGTGGCATTATGATATTTTCTGTCTTATTATCTATTCGTTTCATAATGATTCCTTCCCAATATTCTGTTCGCTTTTTTGACTGCTGCTGCACATGGAATGGATGTTTTCAGAGAACTAGCCACAGTGACTCCAAGATCTCTTTTTTGAGTGGTATCAGCTAATTTAGACCCCATCATTTTATATGTACAGTTGGGACTATATTTTCTAATGTGCATTACTTTGCATTTATCAACATTGAATCTCATCTGCCATTTTGTTCCCCAGTAGGGATGTAAAATGTTAAACGATTAACCAGTAAGCATCAGTGTTACCGGTTAACCCACCTTAACTGTTAACCTCCGGGCCAGCCAGCTGGCCGCAGCAGCCCCACGCCGGCCGGCCCACTGGCCCCAGTGGTCCTGCGCCGGCTGGAGCAGCCCCAGCCGTGCCTGCCAGAGCGGTCCCGGCCCCAGCTGTGCCAGCTGGATGGCCCTTTAATCAGTTAACCGTTTAAACAATTAAAAAATATTTTGTGTAAACGGTTAACTTTTTAAATGATATTTACATCCCTATTCCCCAGTCACCCAGTTTTATGAGATCCCTTTGTAACTTTGCAGTAAGCTTTGGATTTAACTATCTTGAGTAATTTTGTATCATCGGCAAACTTTGCCACCTGACTGTTCACCCCCCTTTTGCAGATCATTTATGAATAGGTTGAACAGCACAGGTCCCAGTACAGATCCTTGGTAGAACCCTGCTATTTATCTCTCTCCTTTGTGAAAACTGACCATTTATTTGTATCCTTTGTTTCCTATCTTTTATCCAGTTACTGATCCATGAGAGGACCTTCCCTCTTATCCCTGACTGCTTAATTTGCTTAAAAGCCTTTGATGAGGGACCTTGTCATAGGTTTTCTGCAAGTCCAAGTACATGTCTCCCCAAGCCTGACTGACTGGATCTTAAAACAATCGGAGCCACATGGCTGCGTTTCAAGGCAGGTCCTAGAAAGAGGAGAAGGGATTGGCGAGGCTAAGCACTCCCTGGGTCACATCACCATTGTCTCTTGAAAACAGCATCTTCTCTCTGGCCGCTCCTTGCTGCAGAGCTGCTAAACTGCTGCCAGCGAAGGGAGAGGTCTGGAATGTCAACTGAACCAGCTGCTTGCTCCGTAGTGGAGAGGGGTCTGGCCCCATCCGGCGGCGCCCAGTGCTCCCCATCCAGGAGGAGGTGTGCATTTGGTTCGGAAGTTAAGTGGCTCAGCCTGCATCCCTAATTTATTATTACAGCAGCTCCTAGTGTATGTGTACTCTGCACACTAAGCCCGGGCTCTGACTCAATTTTGAGCCCAATCCCTCCTTCCGTCCACACCCAAATCAGTCTGACTTGGTCAGCAAGCACTCAGAACCCAGATCCTGTGATCCTGCAAAGGGATGGCTCAGAGCCCGAGTCCTGCTGTGACTTGGGTCCAAGCCCTGTTATTTTGCAGTGTGGAGGCAGGTGAAGCCACAGAGCTGAGTCAGACGGTCTGTGAATGCAGGCTTCCACAGACCCAGGCTTAGTGAGCTGTGTAGATGCACCGCTAGAGGCCGCCCACTAAGACTGGGACCTCCCGGCCTTGGGAACTCAAGCTCTGTTCAGCTCTCGTGCTGTGCTTCATGGTATCGGAGCACCCGCGGGGGAAATCCTTAGCACTTTGCAAGCTCAAAGCACGGTGCGGGCCCTTGCTTGCTGTTGTGCAGTGACTCTCCCAATAATTAGGGCAAAACCTCCCAGATCCAACCCCACCCAAAGCACCCCTCTGCCCTGAGCAGCTTGGCCCAGGGAGGGAGAGAGTGCTGCTGTTCTCACCACTGGCCACTAGAGGCTGCTGTGCCCCATTGGCTGCCTCTGTAACCCTGCCTCATGGCTTCCCCAGTCTGGCAAGCAGAGCAGCAGGTGACGCTCAAGCCCTTCCTCTTTCCTCAGGTGGGGGAGAGGGGGAGGTAATGGGGAGAGAGGAGGGACTGGGCTGAGGGAGGGAGACCTTACAGGGGGCTGAGGGGAGAGGAAGCCCTCTTGGGGCGACTGCCCTTTGTCTCTCATCTCCTGTGTTTCCCCCACTCCCTTCTGCTGCCACCCTTCCGGTGGGGTGGGGGACGCACAGCAGAGAGAGAGCAATGGGGGAGATGTCCCAGGAGTGCTTATTTCCTAGGAGGGGACCAGCCGGCTGGGCTCCTCCAATCACAGTGGAGGGGGGATGGCAGATCTTAGCCTTCCCCCTCAGATGATAACGGGATAGAATCCAGGGGCTGCTTGTTATTTGTTATCCTGTGTGCTTGGCGCTGTAGGAACCACCGGGATCAGGACAGTCCTGTCCACGGAGCTGTGGCATTACTTCAGGCTGTATTTGGCCCGCTAGGTTATGTAGAACCCCAACTGAGCACAGGCCTTTGCGTGGCCGATAGCCTCCTGTTAGCTGCGCCCAGCACACACCCTGGGATTGTGTGATTCACATTCCCTGGCTCCGTTCCGGCTTGATTCTGCTGTTCACTGCTCCCATTTCTCTCCTCACTGCAGGGCGAGGGATTGGCTTTACCCGTCTGCGGACTCCCTTCTGCCGTGGGGAGCATGATGACGGCCATCCTGGAGCGTATCAGCACCTTGTCCGTCAGCGGGCAGCAGCTCCGCCGCCTCCCCAGACTCCTGGAGGAAGGCTTCCCCAAGATGCCCTGCACTGTCGAAGAATCCGACGTGCCCCAGCTCTTCCGGGAGCCGTACATCCAGACGGGGTACCGCCCCATCGGCCAGGAGTGGCGCTACTACTTCTTCAGCCTGTTCCAGAAGCACAATGAGGTGGTCAACGTCTGGACTCACCTGCTGGCGGCCTTGGCTGTGTTGCTGAGGTTCAAGGCCTTTGCAGAAGCAGAGGAGCTGTCCTTGGACGTCTCAGCCTTGCCTTTGTTCATCTTCGTGCTGTCCTCCCTCACCTACCTAACCTGCAGCCTCTTGGCCCACCTACTGCAATCCAAGTCGGAGCTGTCTCACTACACCTTCTACTTCGTGGACTACGTCGGGGTCAGCGTCTACCAATACGGCAGTGCCCTGGCCCATTTCTACTACAGTGCGGACCAAGCCTGGTACGACAAGTTCTGGCTCTTCTTCCTCCCCGCGGCTGCCTTCTGCGGCTGGCTCTCTTGTGCTGGCTGCTGCTACGCCAAGTACCGGTACCGGCGCCCCTATCCCCTCATGAGGAAGATGTGTCAGGTGATCCCAGCAGGGCTGGCGTTCGTCTTGGACATCAGCCCAGTTGCACACCGGGTGGTCATGTGCCACTTGGGGGGGCTGCGAGGAGCAGGCTGCCTGGTACCACACCTTCCAGATACTGTTCTTTCTAATCAGTGCTTATTTCTTCTCCTGCCCAGTCCCCGAGAAGTATTTCCCGGGCTCCTGTGATATAATCGGCCACGCCCATCAGATCTTCCACATGTTCTTGGCCCTTTGCACGCTCTCGCAGCTGGAGGCCATCTTCCTGGATTACAAGATCAGGCAGGAGATTTTCCTGAGTAGACATGGACCCCTCTCCATCTACCTGTCCTGTGCCTCTTTCTTTGGCCTGGTGGCCTGTAGTGCCATCACGGCTCACTTCCTGCAGTGCAGGATCAAAGTGGGGCTGGCTAAAAGAGACTCCTGAGAGACCGTTGCGAAGACTAGACAGACACTGACTGGCTGGTACTGATTCGGTGGAAACCAGCGGAGGATAATTTATAGAGACATAACAAATTGGTTTGTTTGCATAACAGTTTGTCTAATTTATAACTGAGAAATGGGTGGCAGGCTGGAGTCGCTTTATGAGAGCCCTTCTGTCTAAGGCGTTTTTACTTGAGTGGCTGCCTCTTGCAATGCAGGGGTGTTTTTTTAAGCCAGATTGGGGCATTTAACCAAGGATGCTTGGATTAGGCGGAGGTTTCTAGTTTGTTCCACGCTAGTAAATCTGCAGGGAATATTACATTGAATATCAGGAAAAACTAAGGGTCATTAAACTGTAGAGCAGTCTCCTAGGGGAAGCACATGGCTAGAGTCATTTAAGACTTCACAAAGCACAGGAGACTGTGCAGTGTGGATCAGTCCTGCACTGGCAGGGGGCATGGACAAGATGACCTACTAGGTCTTTTCCATCTCTGCTATACGTGGGCTTGATCCTGCTCCCATTTAAGTCAACAGCAAAATTTCAGCAGGAGCAGGATTGGGCCATATGAATCTCAATTTTCAGGGTGTAGCTGCGGAGGTCTGGGTGGCACAGTGCTATGTAACGTACAGCTGCACACGCCCTTTATATATCTCCAAGTTAGATTCTTGTGACTCATGTTCTCTCAACTCTTCCCTCCTGAAATAAATCGTACCAGGGTCTTAGGATAACTTTGCCAAATCTTTGTTGTAGAGATGGGTCTGGACCAAAACTCTAGATCCATCTATCCCGAGACTTTGGGGATGTTCCAGACCAGATCACAACTTCATGCTTCGGGCCCATCTCTGCTTCACTTTTTGACTCTGACCCAGGTTTTCTTCCGGGAAACACCTGACCCAGTGGTGACGTAAGCAAAATTCCCTCTTCTGTCACTGGGAGATTTCGCCAGGGGTGTTTATAGAAATTCAGTACCAGGGCTGCTCATGAACATTTAAAACAACGAGGCGGACTCTCTCAGGGGCTGCTAATGGGATATGGAGCCTTTCCCTAGTAGATCTGTTGTTTGAATCCAGCCTGGGTCGGCAGTGATGCCGGTGACTGTTTGGTGGCCTGCATCAAATGAGTTTACGCTCGTAGCTCAGTTACTGGTGGAGCAAAGAGAACAAAGACCCTTCATTGTAGGGACAGTCCCCTTCCGGCCAGGAGCAGTGCTCTTTGATGGGGCATTTTGGGGAAGCTGGCACTTGCTGTAGCCGGTGTTGTACTTATGAGGGTAAACAGAGGTCTTCAAGGTTGTGAGTCTGCTACCTTTCATCAACACTAAATAACGTTAGAGATTAAAACGTAATCACTGGAGAAAAAACGGGGGAGGGGAGAAGCAAAATGTACACTCGTTCTCCCTTCAATGATCCCGCCTGATGTCCCCAAATGTCTGTTGTACTCAGAGCAAAATTCTTCTTCCATTTGCACTGCAGATTTCTATTGAATATTCGACTCCTGCTGATGCCAGTGGAGTGGACGTACCATAAGGAACAGTCCCACCCTGGCAGAGGAATGGACTGGATGTGTAATAGGCCTTTGCCCTCTGCTGCGGGAGCGAGCTGTCGGCGGATCATATGGCTCTAGGGCAGTGCGTAACCCTGACACTGTAGTATAGCCCTCCTGTAATATGGAAATGAGGGTAGCAGACAGTTGAATATTTCATGCTGATGGTTATGGGTCAGTCCCTTCTACCGTCCCAAATGAATGACAAAGGTTTTGGGTTGCTTAGAATGAATTCGCCAATTGGATAAGTCCCTTCTTTGTCTACTTGAGTGGGAAGTAGGCGATTGGAGGCTATGAGCCGGATCTCCAGCTGGTGTGAATTGGAATGACTGCTCTGAAGTCAATGGCGCTTACATCAGCTGTCTAGGAGGCTCCGACTAGTACAGTCCTCACAGGCCTAACTGGTAAGCACTTGTCTTGTCCATTCTGTCCTCTCCCAGTGTTAAATCCCAGTTCCCTTGTAGTAGATTATACCACTGCACTACCCATGTGTCCTGTGCAATATCTTCACACCCAAATGGTCTGATCATCACCTGGTGTAAATCCCCATTGACTTCAGTGGAGCTGCGCTGATTTACTCCAGCAGAGGATCTGGCCCATCAAATCCAAGCAAAACTGGATTACTTGAGTGAGTTGAAACTGACCTTGGAAGTGAGGCTTAGAGATGTGACCGAAGGTCAGTCACTACAAGCCTGAGCTTTAGTGTTTGGTCTGGTTTGGGGGATTTTTGAACTCTCTTTTGTGTGTGTTACAACTCCCAGAAGGGCTCCGTTTTGCTTTGATGTTAGCAAACCCTTTTGCAGGGTGAAGGTCAGTCAGGGAGGGAAATGGTTCGCTGGTGGAGGGGAGCAGTAGACAAAGGCAGCTACGGATGCCTGGACTCTTTGAAAACCAAGCCACTCATTTAGGTGCCTTTCTGTAGATAAGTGCCTACATCTGGGCACCCTAATCGGAAACTACTGGCCTTAATGACAAGTTAAATACCTTTATGGAGGTGGGGGGGGAGGGGATTGGGTCAACGGGGATTATGCTAATAGGATACAGAGGCTGTGAACTCTGCGTTCCTGATTCAAATTCAGCCCAGGTTGGTAACGATAAAAAGATGTTTAGATGAGAGAGCTGGTCAGGGGCCTTTGTAAAATTACTTGTTGGTCTCTTGTCAGTTTTGGTGAAGAGTCCATCAGAGCGGATTTTCTTCTTTCGCCTTGTTTACACTCTAAAGTTGAACCACTGTAATTGCATTGGGTTAAAGCAGTACAAGCCCTCTAGTGTGGATGCAATTATAGTGGTGTGAATGTGTTTCTGTATAGGGAAGGGAATAAAGTATTCTGGTATAAGGCACCTTTGTACAGTATAACTGCATCTACATTAGAAGTTGTACCAGTATAACTATAACATCCCTACCCTAAATACTTTGTTATGCTGGTACGAAATCTTTGTGTAGACCAAGCGTTAGCTCCTCTAAAGGATTTAAACTAGGCTGCACACTGTGTCCCAACAGAGGAGGATACACCAACCCATGCCATCTCCGTGCAAGTGTTTGCAAACCACAGAGGACAAGAATGTGCATCGCTCTTAATGGAAGGACTGAGCCTGATGCTTTCCGTGACACTCTATCGCCACCTACTGGTGTCACAAAGCAACTTATTTTTTCCTAAAAAGCAACAGAGGGTCCTGTGGCACCTTTGAGACTAACAGAAGT